TTCCGATAACGGGAAGGTTGAATGCACATGGATTCATGAGGCGCACAAATCGAAAGCAAAAGGTGCAGCTTATTATTCATGTTTCCGGGACGCGAGCCATGGTGAGGCCTCCCTTTTTGTCAGATAAATTACCCAGGAAGAGAAATCCTGAAAGTCAATTTAAACCTTGTGTACATTCCCTCAAGAGTGTGTGTCTTTGACTAGCGTGAACGCTACACAGATAAGGGCGAAGCAACAACTCGCAGCCAAGAGCGCTCTCAATAAATTACGCTGCCAGGGCCGGGTAGGTGCAAGGAGCAATATCCTTCTCAGGATGCAAAAAAGGAGACGGATGCAATCATTGCAATTAAAAGGAGTCCAGAATTAAAGCTGTTTAATAATCTTCCCACCTTCCACTTCCCTACGGATCTGAAATATCACTTCCCTTTCTACTTCTCCTCCGCGGGCACAGGAGGGAAGGATACATTTCAGACTGGCAGGAAGCCAAAGCCAACAGTTGCAGCAATAGTAGCTGCCTTGTCTGAAAGGCAATTCAGGAAGTTTTTCGAGGGCAGAGTGCACCAGACAGAAGGGGGTCTGTCAGCACAACACGGACCGATCCCTACACAGTCACAGCTGACAACACATCTGCTCCACCATGCCCCTTGGAAAGATGCTAAATTAGAATTGAAGTCAACCCCTCGATTCAACATGGGGTTTTTTTTTGCTCCCAGAATGTGCACCTACAGGCTCAGTGATTTCCAAATTATATGCTGCTAATGAATAGGCCTTTGGGTTTTTCCACCCCCAAGACAGAATTGCAGAAAGGCTGGGCTGGAGGGACCTCTGGTCCAATGCACTGCTCATTCATACTTCCACCGACACACGTGTCTAACCTGTGTGTAAAAACTTTCAGGGATGAAGACACCGCAGACTCTCTAGGTCACCTGTCCCAACACTCAACCACCTTCCCAGTTAGAAATCTCTTCCTAATATTCAACCTAAAGCTCCCTTGTTCTATATTTCAGTGCATTACTTCTTATTTTTGACTCGTGCTCAGCCTGACAACGCCTCCCACCCTTCTCTGCAGTGCTGCCACGTGCTCCCCCGTTATCCATCCTAGGAGCCGACGTTTCACTCGTCTTATCAACTTCCATCCCGATCATTTCTGATCGTTTTGCCAGTTTTCCAGGGACATTTTGCAACCTAAAACTGTCCTCTCAAGTGCTTGTTACCCCACTCATCTCCATCCTCCAAGTCATTAATGAAGATGCCCAACTGTACCAGGCCATGAAGAACGCAATGATACCTCTTCCCAGTTTCAGTCCCTGATAGCTATACTATGGGCACGGTCATCCAACCGATATGGCCAGAAACACCAGCTCCACAACAATAGGGTCATTAAAAAGATTAAAATAACCTATCCCGACACTGCGTCTGCACTACGTATCAGATATTTAAGTGTTATGCTTGAGCTTTACTAATAATGCATCTACGTTAAGTTTACTAGCATCAATATTCTAGATTCAAATGGACATGGCCGAAACATTCACTAAATATACGCCGGTAGCATATAACAGGGAGGGTCAAACATAGTGCCTCCGTGGCCAAAAGCGACGATGCATATGAGCAGCAGGAGTGGCATCAAGCTACTATTAAATTAATTCAGCACCATTGCAGGCACAAAACAAAACAAAATAAATAAAAAAAAAATCATTCCAAACCTTTGCACCGGGTCAGATGCAAAATGAGCCGGCTCAATGGAAAGCCAGCTGGGGTCAAAAGATCTTAACTTTCCCCCTTTGCAACTGGCTGCTCACATTAAGAGCTGGATAAAGGAAGGAAACTATTCACTACCAAATTCCTGTTGATTGAAGCGCGAGGGACTGCAGAGAAACGGTGAGTGGGACTGCCCGCAGGGATTAGGTCTCAAATGCAGCAAGGACATTTTCAATTCTGACCCTGGAATGAGTCCGGGGGTTTCCCACTGCAGAAAGAGGAGTCTCGGTCCACGGTGACTGTATATTCACTGCCTTTCCCCAATACCCATATGCTATTCCCCTTCTTCTTCCAATATTCTGGGGCCTGCTCGTACAAATTCTTGGCCAGGAAAGGCCTAGAGGAGGTAGGGATGTCAGCCTGCTTGTCCCGTGGCTATAAAGACTCCCTGTGTTTAAATAAAAGAACGTGTTCTCCGACTACAAATGCCTGAAGATTTATGGGAGGAAGTGTTAAGCATAAAATCCGAACAATATCTCCATGCGTGGGCAATGCTCGGGCCATAAATCAGGGCAGTGCACAGGGACAACAATGGGCTTTTCACGTTGTAATTACACATATTAATTACACATTTAATTATCACACATTAATATTACCTCAGTATATAATTACTGCTTATTCTTGTAAACCTAATCAAGGAAAACCAGCATATTTGCATAAAACTCGTAATGAAAAGTATAATGATTTCACTAACAAGATGTGGATAAGAATGCGTATCTGTGACAAACACTTTGTGTCAAGAAGAATAGAAAGCGATTTTCTTTCCTGAAGATTATTTCAGGCCCATTTAACACAATCTGTACCACTCAGTTGATGCGCAGTATCCTACACACATCAAGTCATATCTGGATAATGTTCCTGACTTCAGATAAAATTTCATTACTATATTTAGTTATAGAACAGTGTGAACTGGCTGCATTGTTAAACTTCATAAAAATTGGAATTTACAAAGTATTAGGCAATTCTCAGCGCCAATTTTTCCACTTGATGTTTAAACACCGCCGCAATTCTACTATGGTCTTCCTCACCAGGCAGTTTGCACATTACAACTTAATTTTCAGTCATAAAAGCAGCAATTAAGGATAAGCACAGGCACTCCACAATTCCTGACACCAAAGATAAAGGGAACTGGCTCACATCTTCCACTGGAGATACAAAAAGCAACTCTAATTATCGATAATTTGTCACCCCAAATTTAAGTACATGTATTTGAGGGTGTTTGGTTCTGGTGTACGAGGCATTTCAATCTGAGCTGGGAAAATCCCGAATGCGTGCCCATCAATGCAATGAAGTCGAGGGGTGGAAGAGGACACAATGATTACAGAAGCCGTTTACAGGCAAATAAACCAATGTAAAAGTGAGTATCTGGATCTTCTCCTACTGGGGGTACAAGCAACACAACCAGTGCCCTTGGAGTCATGATAATGAACTGAACATATATCCCTTTAAAACCAGCACACAATTAAGACAGTCTCATGGTCCACACCAGGTTCAAGTAGGGATGGGGACGTGGCCTAGTGCCCATTGCAGACGACAGCACTTCAGGGTAGACTTCCCCTCACTTTATCAGCGCGGTACTTCTTACTCCTCAAGATGTTATTTAGTTTGCAATCGTACCTTCTTTGCACATTTGCTCTTGCCCAATACAGTTATCCCATACAGCTACTACTGCAGTTGCATTACCAAGCTCACAATACAGGTTTTCCCTTGAGTAAATGCAAGAAACACAAGCATGCAATGTATTTCAAGCCTACATAATTGAGTACAAAACTTAATCTATAAAACAAATGCAACTGCTACACATTACTTAGCTAAGAGAAGCTCAGTTAAACAAATCTCTTCCAAAACTACAAGGAATGGTGACAGGCCCTTCTAAAGCAAAATTGCTGTGAGTTCAATAGGAGTTATTTGCCTCCTTGATGACACATGGTGCTAAGAAGCCTAATATCTAAGAGTAATTATGAATTATGTTTCAAGCAGGAGGTGTAGAGAAGGGACAAGCACTCAGACTAGACGGATGGGTCAACAACTGCCTATAAATCGTGGTAATACTGCACCTGAAGAACAGAGCAACTTATCCACGGGGTTTGCAAAGCAACTGGTTTAGCAGAGTCTGGTTGAGGAAGGAAAGAAAGCTGCAGAAGGGAGTTTCTACAGCGTACAACACTCGGAAAAAATTCCAGTCTCGTGTTATCTTCTGGTCCACCTGCCACTTCTGGCATTTTGTTTAAACGTTGTAGCTCGGTCTTTTCATAAAACCTGAGTCAAACAATTAACGTCCAGTGCTTCCGGAGACTGACACAAAGCTCCGAGCTCTCAAAATTATCAAAAAAGCTGTAAAGTACTATTGTGAAAGGAAAGAATCCTATTCAAAACTCGGCATCTCTGGTCAATTCTCTGCTGATTTCTCATTAATCCTCGAGGAATAAAAGGGAAAGGAGTGTAGCCGTAGACAGCATTCTCATCCGACTCATTAAATCTTGACTGCAAACGTGGAATGAATACATCCGTACAACAGCAGTAACCACAAGCACAAATATTTGGAACAAATCAGTTTTATGATCAACTAAAATGGGATTGGGGCCCAGTCTGGAATAGTGTTTTGTACTGGTCACCCCATCTCCAAAGATGCAACAGAAGAAGGTGTTCATACACAAGTAATGAGGAATGGAGACATTTACTGCAGAGCGCATGGGTGCTTAATTCAGAGACAAGACATGACCGAGAGATGCAAAGAACTGGGCAGAAAATGGCTTTCCTGTCCCACAAACACTTGTGGTTTCAGGCAATGCTCCTTGCTCCAGACTGAGACAAATGAAGACATGTTAATGTTTCAAGAAAAATAAGGGGGAAGTCCACACAAATGTC